ATAGCCGACGGGGATCCCTTCCTCACCCCCTCCGCTTGGTGGCAGTAGTGGGCTATTGCCCCCGCGCATGTGCAGCAGCGGCGGCACCCCAAGTCCAGGGGTCCGCGTTGCTTAGATGCCAAAAAAAAAAAAAAAACCTGCCCGTCTTGGTTACGCATGCGCGAGAGCAACCCGGGCCCCCGGGCCCCTTCCCGTCGGGCCCTTTTTCCTTACCCCACGGAGCCGCTTAATCAAGGCGTTCTTCTGCCCGCTCTTAGGCAGGCCCCGCTGCTCCAAAGCCGCCTTCAGGTCGGCGACTCTCAACGCCTGAAGCGGCCTCCCGTCCAGAGTAACCTCCTCCCCGTCCGCCATCTTGTGTGGCGCTGCTGCCTGCCCTCCCCGGAGCTTCGGGGGCGTTCGGGAAGTTCCCGAGACGGCCTCGGCGCTCGGAGGCGACCTCCGACCCGGAGCTCGCGACGTCTCGTGGACGTCCGGCTGCCCTTCGTCAAGCGCCGTCTGGTTTCGGAGACTTCCGTTCGGCGTTCGAAAGGAGGGGCGGAGGGGCCGCTGTCGCTCGGGCGACTCTTTCCGGGCTATCTCGGGCATTTCCGGGTCTTTCGAGGAGGCTTCTCAATTTGAGAGTTTTGAGAAGGACTCGGGAACTTCCGGATATCTTCGGCCTCCGAGGGGGGCGGACACGGAAACCCTCGGCAACTTCCGCCCAGCGCCATAGAAAGCGCCTTCGAACGGAAGCCTGACGGCTGAGTTCGTCTTCGGGTGTTTCCGGATGACTTCGCCGACTTCCACCGACCCGCCCGAGGCTCTTCCTCCTGCCGAAAGCGGAGTAGACGAAAATGCCCCGAGTTTCTTTCGCAGCGATGGGAAAAACCTGGATCTGAGCCAAAGCAGGTGAGAAAAAGGCAATGCTGGCTTGTCTTCGGCTCCAGGGACCGGCCGTGCAAGGAAAGGGATTGCGAAAGCCGCGCCTGCATGGCTGGGTTTGGCGTGGTGCAATCGTTTGCACGGTGGACTACAAGTCCCATCGTGCTGAATAAACCTAGGGCACGTGTCTCGGGCGGGGGGGGGTTTGCATTCCGACAGTGGGCGAGACCCAGGACGGGGGAGTGGCTGCCCTACCTGCCTGGAATTCTGCTTTGCGAGCAGCCAGGTGCAAACTGGGTTTGTGCAGGGCTGGCCAACATTGTGGGTTTGTACGAGCTGAGTTCCGTTCAAGCTGGCTTGTTGGAGTCTTTATACTCAACGTATGTGCTGCTCCATTGAAAGAAAGCCTTCCCTGTTGCTTTCAAACGGCTTTCCAACCGTAGTAACTTTTAAGATGTGTGCGCTTAATTCCCAACATTAAAGCCAAGGAAGGAAGGAAGGAAGGGAGAGGGAGAAAGTTATTAAGAAAGAAGAGGGAGGAAAGAAGAGGGAGGAAGGGAGAAAGGAAAGAAGGAAGAACAGAAGGGAAGGAAGGAGAGGGAGGACTGAAGGAGAGGAAGGAAGGAAGGAAGGAAAGGGACAAAAGGAAGGAAGGAAGGACAGAAGGAGAGAGGGAGCAAGTTATTAAGAAAGAAGAGGGAGGAAGGAGGAAAGGGAGGAGGGAAGGAAGAACGGAAGAGGGAGGGAAGGTGGATAGGGATGGAATGATGGAAGGAGAGGGAGAAAGTTATTTATTAAGGAAGAAGAGGAAGGAAAGGGAGAAAGGAAGGAAGAATGGAAGGGAAGGAGGGAGGACAGAAGGAATGGGATGGAAAGAGATGGAGAAAGAGGGAGAAGGGAGGGAGGGGAGAAAGAGGAAGGAAGAAAGGACTTCTAACCCTTCTTTCCTCCATCTCTCCCTTTGTTTCCCTCCCTTTCTTGCCTTCCTTTCTTCCCTTTCTCTTCCCTTGCTTTTCCCCCTCCATTTCTCCCTCTTCCTCTAACCCTTCCTTTCTTCATCATTCCTTCCTTGCCTATCTTTTTTTCTTGCCTTCTTCCTTCTCTGTGCACCTCCCTCTTTCCTGCTTTCCTGTCTTTTCCTTTCTTCCCCTTCTCCCTTCTCTCCCTGCCTTTCTTGTCTTCTCTTCCTCCCCTTAATTCCTTTTCTCCCTCCCTACCCCCTTTTTTCCTTCCTTCCTAATTCTGGGAGCTGAAATCTACTCATCTTAAAGTTGCAAAATTTAAAAAACACTTTATGCAAGTTTTTCTTTCTCCTGAAGGAATTTTAATTTTACTTTTGTGGCTGCCATGGCCATTTCCTACAAGTTTGTTTCCTTCCTTTCCTCTGAAAATATTTTCTATCCCTTTGGATGTGTAAATTTTAGCTTTATGCAATATTTATAATACCATGCAGTTTTTGGGGAACAAGAAGGAAGAAATTGTTAGAAAGAGTTCAGCTATTTAACTGGGGAAAATAAGAGTTGAGACTGCCTGAAATGCTGCAGCGGCCCTTTTAATACAATTTACATGTTATTTTTAAACCTTTTTGGTTATTTAGCTATGCTAATTGTATCCTTAGGATGCTTGTTGGTGCTTTACATTGTAAATTCACAGCTGGTTTAATCTTCCAAGCTCTTGATAATATTTCCTGGATAAAAACAATCTTTGAGAAATGCGGTGTGCCGATAAACTGTTTATTTTCAGTACAAATGTTAACTGTGATATGTAGTTATGACCCTGGTCCTATAGGTAGGATAGGATTTTGCCTAAATTTTTGCTCCCTAATCTAGTTTTTCTTGTGTCTGCCCCTTCAGTGTTTTCTCATTCCATTGGCTCTTTAATTTTGTTTTCCAAAGATATTCAATATATATACACACGACTTGAGTGCTGCCCACTTGGAAGGATGAATGAAGAAGGGAAGAAGAAAAAGCAGAAATGAAGGAGAGGGAGGAAGTAGAGGGAAGGAGAGAAGAAAGTGGGAAGGAGGGAGGAAGGAAGAAAAGAAGGAGAGATGGAAGGGAGGGAGGGAAATTAATATATAATTTAAAATAGATACTATTTGAGTGCTGCCTGCTTGGAAGGATGAAGGGAAGAAGAGAAAGACGGAAGGAGAAGGAAGGAAAGGGAGGAGGAAGGAAAGATGGAAGGGAGGGAAATAGTGTCATAAGTCGAGGACTGGTTGAAATCCCTCCACCCCCCGCTTCTCTGCTCTCCCCTGCAGGATGACGGAGCCGCTACCCTTGTCCTACGTGACGGCCCAAGAGATGCGTTGCCTCCTGCACTGGCTGTCCATCTGGACTCCCGCCCAACGGGAGTGTTTCCTCCAAGACCTGGTGGACAAGGCCGTCCCTTGGAAGCTGTTCCCCCTGCTGGAGAGCCTTTCGGGACTCCGGGTGGAATTTGGGAAGCCCCCGTCCATCTACCAGTGCCAGATGCGCCTCTGGAACCAGTGGTTCCGCAGCTGGTCGGAAGCCGAGCGCAACGAGTTTGTCCGGCAGATGGAAGAGGAGATGCCAGATTTGGCGGGACGGTTTTACCGAAAAGTGGTGGCCACAGCCCGACAAGACTGAGGCAGACCGTGGCGCACTCTCCCTTCTGTCCCCTACCCTCTTTTTTGGGGGGTGGGGGAGTGATTTCTCTGGATGTCTTCCCACCAGCTGCTGTCAAGGCCTTTCCATAACCCCGAATAATATGAAAATAAAATATTGTTTAGCAAATGCAATGGATTAAATGTTGGGTTGTGTGCTGAAATATGGGGGAGGGACTGATATTTTCCTTCCTTTTTTCCCCTATTCCTTCCCTTCCTCTCTCTCTCTGCCCCATTTCCTTTCTTCTTTCTTCCCTTCCCTCATTGTTTCTTTCCTTCCCTCCCTTCTTCCTTCCTAACTCTGTTTCTTTCCCTCTATTTCTTCCCTCCCTCTTTTTCTCCCTCTGCTCCTATTTCCTTTCCTCTTCCCTCATTGTTTCTTTCCTTCCTTCCCTCCCTTCTTCCTTCCTAACTCTGTTTCCTTACTTCTTTCCTTCTATTCCTTCTCTGCCTCTTTTTCCCTCTGCCCCATTTCCTTTCCTCTTCTCTCATTTCCTTTCCTTCCTTTGCTCCCTGTTTCCTTTCTTCCCTCTCTTCTTCCTTCCTAACTCTGTTTCCTTCCTTCATTCCCTGCCCCAGTCTCTTCATCTGTTCCTTCCTTTCCTCCCTCCCTATGTCCCTCCCACCTTGTTACCTTCTTCCATCCCTGTTTCTTTCCTTGTTTCCCTATCTCTCTACCTTCATCTTCCTTTCTTCCCTCATTTTCTCCCTCCTTCTGCCCCCTTTCCTTCTTTCTTCCCTCTTTTTCCTTCCTTCCCTCCCTCTCTACCTCCTACCCCTCTTTCCATCCCTCCATATTTTTCCTTCCTTTTCACCTTCGCTACCTCCCTCTGCCCCTTTCCTTCCTTCCTTTTTGTTTCTTTCCTTCCCTCATTCCCTGTTACCTTCCTTCCCTTTCTTCCTTCTGTCCATCCTTCTCTCCCTCTTCCTTCACCCCTTCCTCTGTTTCCTTATTTCCTCCCTGTTTCTTTCTTTTTCCTCTTTCCCTGCTTCCTTCTCTCCCTCCTCCCTGTTTCCTCCTTTCCTTACTGTCTTTTATTCCTTCATCTCCCCATTTCTTACCTTTTTTTCCTCCATCACCCCCTCTACCCCCTTTCCTCCCTTCTCCTTTTTTCTTATAATTTTGTAAAGAAGATGCATCAGCATTAAAAAAAAAATCGTGAAAATATACAGTAAAAGAACAAATTAGCAAGGGATTTAAAATGTCATGTAAATTACGTTTTCCCAGAGTATCATTAGTCAACTATGAATAGTTGGACATACTATTTTAGAGCTTGGAAATTGCTTATTAAGCTCTTAAGATAAGCATGAATACCCAGATCTTGATCAGCCGAGAATAAATCACTTAAATGAGATTTATCAGCAGAGAAAAATTAATCTTTATTACTGAGACTCTATTCTGGCTTAAACAACCTGTGAAATTAAAAAAAAAACAGACTCTGTTCATAGAGCAAACCATTCATTGCTGTTCTAGAACCCACTTCTTAGTTTGGTTAATTCAGATCGTCCTCGACTTACGACCACAATTGAGCCCGAAAGTTACATCGTTAAGTGAGACAGTTAAGGGAATTTTGCCTCATTTTACGACCTTGCCACAGTCAGACACACGGCCGTTGAGCGAATCTGGCTTCCCTATTTTACTTCGCTCCTCAAGAAGGTCGCAAAAGGGGAATCACGTGACACTGCAACCATCATAAATACAAATCGGTTGCCAAGTGTCTGAATTTCAGTCACGTGACCGATGGGGAGACTGCGACAGTTGTAAGTGTGAAAAAAATAAGTGGAGGATAGCCTGTAATGCATTTTTAGATTCGACCGGGATTTCCTTGGCCCACCCAATCTGCTAAATCAAAATTTAAAAATCACAGTAGTGGAGGAGAGGGGTAATCTTTATTAGCCCCTTTTCGTGGGCAAAGCTATAAAGGCACACCATGTTTTAAAACAGCCTGGAAAAGGCAACTTTGCAAGAGAGCCAACAAATTTTAGGGTTTAGCTACGTGAACGGACCGACGTAAAGGCCCAAGGTATCCTGGAGGAGGCCTCTACCCATCATTTTGCCATTTGCAAAACGTCCCTAAGAAACCAGAAGCTAAAAAGCAAGGGTCTTCAAAATTGGCAAGTTTTAAGACTTGTGGACTTCAACTCCCAGAATTCCAGAGCTCACTTGACTGGAGGAGGA